GCGATACTAGGCCTTGCAGCAATGCCTCTTCTCTGCTTGCTTCGACGCGCAGTTGTCGAAAAGGGGAAGCGCTGGCTTTCGTTTTGCAGCTTCTCAGGTGTTTTGGTTGGTGGTACTATGTCGAGTCGTAGCGGGCCTATCGGAAAGTAATTGTTGAGTTCACTCTCGTGCAATCGTTTTATTGGTAGCACCCTTAAACTGTTAACATGTGTCATGGGCAAACTGCAGCCTCAAATACCCATGCAACGTGTATGAGTTGGCTCAGGTTGATTGAGTATATGATATGGTACTTTGCGGTCTCTTCCTCAGGAACCCCAGTACCGGGAGATCCTAGAGGTGATCAAGGTCACATGTGTGGCCAACGACCGGTACTGGCGATCAATCTACAGCCATGGAATGTGGATCCCACGGAGAGAAGCAGTTCAAATCGTTACCGACGGGTGGACTTTCACTGAACCAAAGCTTCTTTCAAGAAGGTTTTCAGCATATGCTTTGACCAACGGGGTTTTGTTGAAGTAGCCCCACGAAGCCTCATCCTGCGTCCCCTTTCCCCTTTCTTGGAAGGACGGCTATTCGACACTTGCAGCCCTATCATCCCGGCAGAGGATTTATGCCTTTCAAGTCCGACCCAAATTACACATGATGGGTCACATAACGCCTTTTGGTTGCACCATGTTGAAGCTAGTCGGGTGATTGAAAACAAGACTCGCTGTGGTGCCTTTCGGTGCGTAAGGTTGGACATGGACCACCAACTCAAAAGCGGCGTTGACTTTGTCATGTCCCCAACGGCCCACATGACGTGGGCTGATGAGGATTTCATAGGTAAGATTTGCCGGATTTCACGGAGAACATCTCCAATGACTTGCGCTTGGCGAACAATCGACCGCGCACTAGGTCACTACCGGAGACAATTCAAAATTAATTTCAGCCATTCCTACGTGCAGGGGTAAAGGAGGAGATGGAGGTACCAGAAGAAGAACCCACACAGTTTTTTAGAGCACACGACTACACCACCATCCAAAAGGCTGGCACGTGGGTGAATTAAACCCACCGGGATGCGCACTGAGTGCCCCGGCTTCTGAAGTTGCAGGCGTGGCCGAAGACAAAGTGTGTGTGTGTGTGTGTGCGTGGGGCGTGGGCGGGTTGAACCTTATCTTCCACCTCCGTGAGTCTTATGTTCCAAATTGGAATGCAAGGTCGTCAACTTTTTCTGGGGTCGAGCACTTTTCTTGGATTCGTATTAGAAATTGGGCTATCGAGAACTTTTCACTTCGTGGTACTTTTTTCTATATCACTTGGAGGTCTAGGACAAAACGGTTCCCTCATGGTTCCCTCCCCATCTCCGTCCCCTTCCTCCGAGGTCGCAGTCGGCGCCATCATCCGGATCTCCCCAGGTCACCACGCGCCCGTCGCGTCGAAGGGCTGCGAAGGTTTATTGAGTTTGAACTGGTAGCAGGCCAAGTAGACCATACCACCACAAGAAACACCCCAGGACGAGAATCACATGTGACGGTATCTTCTGTCAAGGATGCGCTGACGCACAGTTGACAAGTGAACCATCACTGCCTCATCATATGCCTTGTCGGCCCCAGTCGGCCAGCCCAAAACTCTCTGCAAGGGATCCTGAGGCAGACGACAACGAGTGGCCGCAAGCTCAGGACATTCCCATGCAAGGTGGTGCCACGTCGGCACTGTTTCCTCAGAGCACCATTGGCAACCGCCAAGGTTCACACTTCTGATTTTGTCAAAACGGGCGTCGGATATCACTCCACCCATCATGACCCCACAACCATGAACATTCTGCTGCCGGAAAAGCTTGCGAGCAAGGGAAATACGTCGAGCATCGACGACAACGCCTTGCACACTGGTCGCATCTCTGCGGCTGCTATTCAGAAAACTTTGGAAGCGCTGCCAGCGCCAAGACTCACGAATCTCATGAGCATCCCTTTCTGTGATTGGGTTTTGAAGATTCAAATTCCAGTTTTGCCGCGGGTGATTCCACATCCACGGCGCTACACTTGTCCACCCAAGTGAGGCAAGCCATCTTTGAACTCGGTGCACCCACGTGCCTCTGCGAGGACGAGGCTGCCACTGTCGAGGTCTTCGATGAATTTGCTTAGCGAGATAAGAAAAAGCTTGGAAACCTGAGCAAAACTCAACACTAAGGCCATGGCCAGTTAGCAGAACCCACAGGTCTACTGAAGCACTCTGGTGGCACCCAGAACAACGCTTAATCTTAGTATCAAGCTTGGAGGCAGGTGGGCGGCGCGTCCACGTACCCCAAACAGCCTTAGGAACCACCATGCTTGCCAAGAGCCCTCTTTTGTGCTGAGAAGTCACAGGGAGCAGAGCAATGCGATCAGCTCTCTGTTGCGCTTGACGCACACGCAGATCATGAGTAGGTTTAATGGCAGCCCCCAGGCGGGCCGTTGCATCAACCCCCAAAACTCTGGTGGAAGGCACAATTTGATCAGCGCTAAAGCCTTCATCGATCAAGTCCTGTTGCCATTTCTGTTTCCTAGTAAGGACTTTAGCTTTATTCGAGTTTTCACTGAGGCCTACTTCATCCGACAGGAGTTTCCAATTATGGAAAAGCCGGCCCGCCTGGGCAGGAGAAGAAGCTATGAAATTTCGATCGTCCAGGAAAGTTGTCAAAACGTGGGGCTCCGGCTCGTCGTGCACAATATGAGCCGAAAGGCCTGAGACAATTGCGAAGGGCTGCGAAGGCATCCGCCGAAGCGGAAATCTCCTGCAAGGGCGAAGAATAACTAATAAAAGGGAACAACCAAAATACATAATAACAATTTGCATGTATATTTTGTGTCTTAATTAATTCTGTCATAAATTAAATATAAATTAAATCTGTGTTTCTTGAAAACGTCTATTATATATGTATATTTTAAATAGAGTTTTAGTTCGCTTGACATCTCCTTAACGTCGAAGAGTTGAGACCTCAGCAGCGACTAGAGGTTGCGCCGTGGTTGCGAAGGTGTTGACAAAAAAGCTTTCCTTCCTGGACCCTCCAAGGGGTGGTTAATGGATACCTCCTTAACAGCTCAGGGGCTATAAATAGACACCCCTTGGAGGGTCCTGGTATAGATGTTTCATCTTTACAATTCATACATCATAACAAATGCTGATATGAAGAGGTTTACCATCTCCATGTCTGAGGGGGGGTTGATGAATGAATACGAACACAATTAAGGTTAAGACTGGACCTCGCTGCTGTCACCGCCCAGCTCAGGATCTCCCCAGGTCACGACGCTCCCGTCGGTGCAGAGGGCGGCAAACCTTGGGATCTGTCGAGGAACCGGGACTATGGAAAGCATGCATAGTTCCAGTACTAGGGGCTCCTGGCTTTACTTCTAGGAACAAGAAGCTACATGAAACTACTAGGAGCAAAGGGCATCGCTGCTAGGAGCAAGGACGCTACGAACGGGGCTCCTGGCCTTACTAGTTCCAAAAGGGGTGCCCATTGGAGGAAGTCGGGGTGCCCATGAGTTACGACCACGACTCAAAATAATGACGGAACTGCGTGACTAAGCCGGAAGGGGATGAAAACCATTGGATTCACCCCAAAGGGCCCTACAGTAAGCCCTAAGCAAAGCCAAGAAACGCTTCATCGGTGGAGCTGATTTGCTGCACATTCCGCAGCTGATCTTGGACCGTTCTGCTGTCTGCGCCCCACTCGGTGTCGCCCCAAGTTACCACGCCACTATTGCAACACCAAAGTGCAAAAGCAGCTTTGGTGGCCGTGATGCCAGGTGACTGGGCAATCGCCGTGACAGAGTCTCCATTGTGAATCCCAGCCATGTGAAGCGGGAGGTTCGATTTGGGATCTAGAAAATGTCCATCTGCAGTGACCAGCCTCAAAAAGCCTCGCCCCAAGGCCTCTTGCACAGCGACCTTCAGGTCACTGAGCGTCGAATCCTTGGCAATGGAAATGCTGTGGCCCTGCCCACTCGGCAACAGGACGGTGAGTGAGATCTGCGAAAGGCTCTTCAGGGCCTTGGCAAAGAAGTAAGCGGTCACAAGCAGCTGACCCACCCACCTTCAAGAATACCTCCCGCTCGGTGGATCATCTTCATGTCAAGCTTGTTGGCCGGCTTGCTGTACATCACCGCTAAGAGTTGATCATCGCATAATCACACCCAAAGGATGAAGCCATGCCATCCAAAAAAGGAAAGACTGAAAGACTTATGTAACAGTAACAGTAATAAAAGTAAACAAAAGTATGTTTTCTTTGCCGGGAACAAAACACTAGTAATAAACACATGTTGCCTAACAGCAAAACAACAACAACATCAACAAACTTGTACAACAAACAATTAAACAACACAACAAACAAACAATAATTGTTGCCCTACCATCTCCTCAACAAGAACAGAAACAGCCAAGTTCAGAACACCCTGTCTATCGCCGCCCGTGTCCCGCCATGTTCAACTTCTGCCGTCTCAGTCGCTGCTCCATACAACGCCGGAGCTCGGCTCTTGCGCGTCACGCGCCAGCGCAGGGGGCCGTAGGAGGCCATGGGCAGGGGAGGCGCCAGGCTCACAGAGCCAATATCCCCGACGGCCTCGAGAGGCAGGTGGAGGACCCCCCGCTGGTTGTCCCTGTGGCAGCGGATGACAACGCCGCCCACGCGGAGGAGGACGGCTTCAATGCGTGGCTTTGATGGCGCCGAGGCGGGTTCCGCGTCATGAAGTCGAAACTTCAACATGGGTCGAAAGGCAATGTGTTCGATTTCGATTTCGGATGATCTGATGAAGTCTGACATCCTTTATCACGCTTTCAAGGATCTGAGGAGATGATTTAATTTTTGGTCTTAGAATCTCTGGTTGACACCCATAATTCGTAGGTGGCCGGTCTTCTTCAATGAACACATATGGCGGAGCCAAATCCCTCCAAAGAATCCCAAATCATCGTGGTGTGGTTGATTCATCATCACAGATCGACATCATACCACATAATTAGTCTACTATAGTCTATACGTATATGTCCATCATATACCTAGTACTTATGTTCAGTACTCAACTAGTGTGATGACTGAAGTATGGCTGGAGTCCGCAGGTTGATCTGTTTCGGACACCGCTGTTCTTAGTTGTCCGTCCCATATCGGTGAACCACTTGAGGTCAGAATCAACTCACATTCTCATCAATCATCTCTCCAATAGGGGCCTTGATCGAAAAACATGACCCTTCCCCAAAAATGGAACCTTCAACCACTTCTGAAGTGGTTGAAGGTTCCATTTTTTGGGGAAGGTGCCACTTTTTGGGTTCCGGTTTGTTCTCAGATTGCTTCAATTCACCATTCTCATGCAGAACTAGTGGGTTGCGTGACACTTCGGCCGTTCGGGCGGAACCCGTTGGGTCGGACGCGGCTCGAGGAGCAGCTCCTCAGGCCGCTTGGCATCAAATCGTGAAGCAGCTGAGTGGGCTGTTTCTGATATAAGTACTATAGGTGAATTGATCAGTGCCTGGGTTCTTTTTGGGCTGTTTTTGATAAGTACGGTGAATTATGGTGAATTGATCTGTGCCTGGTTCTTTTGTTAGTGTGTTTTGTTTGGTCTGTCTCCAAGGTGATTGCATGTGTGTGTATGTATATCATGAGGAAATGAAGTGCATTTGTAGTTGGAGTTTCAGGCCAGTCCCATTGTACACTTACACAGATCTTCAATGCTTTTCTGGCCTTCCCCATGAGCACTTCGGTTCAGTGTCGTTCACTTGGACGACCAACCACTGTGCCACTGAGATTTTGGCACGGCTGAGTCGAGCCGAGATTTTGACGTGTGAGCAATGGACTGGGTGATGTGGTCTTGGTGCTCTTGAAGCTCAAAGGGGTTGTTTTGAACAGTTGGTCATCAAGTTTCTGGCCCACAGCTCGTGCCATCTGGCCATAGGACAGAACAAATCAGGTAGACAAATGTAGACAATGCAGCATCAGTGAATCTACTTGGATCTACCCGTGGCAAGCTGATGTGTCACGTGCGGGTGAACAGCCCGCTCTGACGGCTTGCTGTTGCAAAGGAACATGGCCCCGCCCCCAGCGACCCTATCACCATCGATCATCGCCCCGTCCAGCCCGGCTGCACATGAGCAGCCAGGGCGAGTGCACCATGTGGGCCACCGACGCACCCCCCCGGACGCACTGCTTCAACTCCTTCGACCCCTTCCGGTGGGTCCCTTTTTCTCATCTGCGTCCGATGGGACTGTGCGTTCGTTGGAGTCTTTGATGTCATGCAAAGACCAACATGTTCTACTTCCTGGCTCGTCTGGCTCGGCCCATATCAGACTTCCATCAGGTCTACAACATGTGCACAGTATTAGGGACCACTGCCCCAAAGATCAAAAGTTATCGAATATATGCTGATGTGCGAGGGTCATGCGAGTTAGTGGACCCCAACTCCAGTGGTTGATACAGAAATCATTGCAGAAATGAATGCATGCGCGAGAGAAATCCGGTGTCTCTTTTGGTGGTAATCTCCCGGCATTTGGTGCCAAATGGACGCTGAGGAATCTCGATACAAAACACAACAAAGTCCCTGACAAGTGAGGAGAAAAGAACCCCACCTTGGTCTTGGCCTACTGGAACGTTGATAGTCAGTTTAAAGGGCCTTTCAACATGCCGCAAAATGGTGACGCCAATTAAACTCTGCACTTCCTTTTCTGAAAGCATCTGACAGTTTCGGACCGTGGTCAGGACTTCCAAGCAACGTGTGCACCCACTCAGCTAGCACTCCTGGAGTGAGTCAGCCTGGCACATGCGGATCCGTAAAAAAGGTTTCCAGCGCAAAACGGCTAAACTGGGCGGCCCAGCACTGAGTTGTTCTTTCAAACGGATACCATAGGCTGACCCAGCTCTTCATTTAGCGGCACATGGAATGTGAGCCGAAGTCTAAACCTTGGCTTTGACCCTCCCTCCAAGAAATATAGACTGGTGGAAAAGCCAGCTAGCAATTGTTCACTGTTCTTGGGCCGGCCTCATTTTTCGCCGTCATCACATCGTCGAATTCAGCAATTAGTACATATGTGCCATCAAACAAGTCAAACATTTCTGGGGGCAATCACAAAAAGACACAGCTTGTCCAAAGAGGTTTGAGGAGTGTTAGAACCCAGTCCGTGTCACCCAAATTGGATGTCCCGGTCACACGTGTCGCCCGCCTCTTGTCCACCCTCAGTCGGAGAGCGCCGATGGAATGGTCCGGGGCCCGGAGCGTGAGCTGGGGCGATGGCCAAGGCCCTCCTGGCGGAGCTAGCGAGTTGGACGTGGGCTGGGCACTCAGTTGGATGTGGGCACACACACGCACACCTGGACACATGCCCAGGATCCCGGGATGTCTGGGGTTTTGGACCAAGGGGTGGGTGGGTGGAATGGCCGTTTTCGGACACCGACTAGGTGAGCACATGCTTCGTTTCCAAGCTGCAGTGACTTTCAGGTTTCGAAAGGTCCTCAGGTTTGGAAGGACGGTGCATTTACCATGATCAAATGAACCAGAACCGGTATGAACCAGTCATTACTGCGGAAACGTGTGGAAAGGGTATTTGGAAGGGATGCTTTACAATCCGTTCCATTTTGAGAATGAGAACACCTGTAGGCAAACAATGACCAACCAAAACTGCAGCGAGCTGAAGGCCCAGCGGTGTACATTGGAACACCTGGAGGCCAAGGGCGAGCGGATGCTAGCGACTAGGACTCGGCCGAATACCACCAGGGCTGCTGCCACGGGTAGGGTGACCTCCCAGTTCGATCCACTGGATTGGTCTACCCAGCCAAAGCCGTCTGCCTGATGTAGACCCATATCAACAGTTGTCTGTTCAACTTCCTAAAAAGGTGGAACGTTTCAGAAGCTCCTTGAAACTGAAAGCACAAACAAAACACCCTCTCCTGAGACTCTCTGAAGGATTCAATCTCGAGCACGTGTTCCTGGGTACATTTCAGGCGGCCAAGTGTGGGGCAAACAAAGATTTGAGAGAAATCCTGGCAGAAAATGTCTAGCACCGTCCACTTGGAAGGCACCTGCTTTGCCTGCCCTTTCCAGGCTTCGGCCTGTCTCATGACATGTCTACACGGAAACCTGAAGCAGAGACCCGAAGGGCTGGAAGATTCAAACTTAAGAAAACCTACGGGATCGCTCAACAAAAAAAATGTGTTTCCTCTTTTTTCGGTCAAAACATGTCAAAACCCATCCGGACTGGAATAGTTGCTTATATGGACAGGTCATACATGCGGTGTTATGGAACTATGTAGAACCTGACTGATATCTATTTTGGACCCCAACCACCCACAATATAGTCTTTTCCATTCTTTTACTATCAACAAATATAGAGGTCATGTCTGGGCTCTAGGTATTCCAGTCTCATGGCCGTGGATGCTCTAGGGTCTGGTCAAGACCTTCAGTCATTGGATCCGCGTCTTTTGCCGATCGGTGTGGCTCCATCGATGGCCCATCGAAGTGCAATGCTTCAGTGATTCCAATTCTCGGTCCAAAAGCAGGGCCTCCAGAGTGACCCTCCCTGGAATAATCATGTAAGTGAATAGCATCACCTGTTTGGTATTCAAGTTTCATGGTCATCCAGTCATCCATTTGTGGGCCATACCATCCGATGTAACCATGAATGATGATTCCATGGAGTCTGAAACATACCAAAGCCTTGTAACAGACTTTGGCCACTATGACCTGGTGGATCCAGGGCTCCAATCCCAGCTTTTTCTGCCAGCAAACCATGCGTCTTCACCATACTAAAACCACTTCATCTCATCCCAGGCCGAGCCAGGAATGGTGCGCGTGGCCGAAGGCATTCTGCCCGCCCAAGTGGCCGAGATCGTCATGGGCAAGCCGTAGAAGCGACGGAGCCTGAGTCGTTGTCCGGTGGAGGGCGTTGCGGCCTGGAGGCCACTGGAGGCCAGGTGAGGTGAACAATGGGTCATATGTCAAAACAATAGGTCATAACTGGTCATATGTCAAAACAACCTGATGCCCTGGTAATCATGGAAGTGGATGGCATGACCCCAAAAGGATGCCCCTTTTCCTCTACAAATAGGTGTTCTGTTTACTTTCATGGTGGACCAACTGAGTTCTACGTTGGCGATCTCAGTGCCTTCGTCCGTGTGCCGGGCTCGTGTGCCGGGCTCGGACCACCGGACAGCGCGGAACCGGGCTCGTCCGCGCCAGTGGGGCCGGTGGGCCGGTGGTGTCACGACCTGTCCGGGACTGCCGGACTGCCAGGCGGGTCTTGGCTTGATCGGCAGTCCGGACTGGCAGTCCCATCAGACAGGTCGTATCTGGGTGATTTGACCTTTTCTTCCTGGGGGTGACTGACTGTGACAGTCACTGTTCTGCTTGCAAATGCAGTATGCAGTTTACAGGAGGAAGTCTCACAAGTACGGCCAGTTCACCCCATTCCCATCGATTCCATTCGTTCTTTCTGGGGACCCCATTCCCATCCAAAACCTCCTTTCAGGCGCGTTCCCAGGAACAGAAAACGCCACAAAGGCCCCCATGACCACCGGACCGTTCGGACGTGGCGTTCGGAGAGGTTCGGACAGCTCCATCCAAGGGGCTTGTACTCTAAGAGTGGCCGTCCTCTCAAACCACCATTCTTCAGGATCACCTTGACTTTCGAAACATCCTGAGAAGTCTGCAGAAACATCTGCAGGTGACACCGAAATCAAAACCCTTTCTGATTTCTGTTCTATCAGTCTCCTTTTCATCCTTATCT